TGGTGGACGGTGAATACCACCCCCGAAGTAGTGCAGAAGGCCATCGGAGGCCTGGAGGGGAACGCCAAGCAGATGTGGGAAGGGATTAGCGGGATGGTAAAAAAGACCGCGCAAGGGGGGGATACAGGGGTAGCAACTTTGCGAGGTGTGAAAGGTGGACTAATCAGCAGTGGGAAGGGAAAAAGGGAAGTTCTAGCAGGACACAAGAGACTTGGAGTGCCTTCGGAGAATGAAGCTTTTGACCAAGTGTTTAAGAAGGAGGTGGACGCATGGGCCCAGAAAGAAGAAGAGGCATCGAAGGCAGACGTTGGGAACGTAGAACTAGAAAAGGAGTTCACCGAGGACGAGGTTGAGGCGTGCGTGAACAAGTTGCAGTGCCACAAAGCAGCAGGGGCGGATGGGATAATCAACGAGTTCATGAAGTTTGGGGGGAAGGGGATGATCCAGCTGATGGTACTGCTGTACAACTGGGTGTGGAAAAACGAGTATGCGCCAAGTAGATGGAGGGAAGGAGTGGTTGTGAACTTGTTTAAGAAAGGAGACAAGACTGACCCAGGAAACTACAGGGGTATCACACTGTTGAACACAGTAGGAAAAGTGTTTTGTAAGTTGCTGAACGATAGGATAGTGGGAGTATTGGAGAAGGAACGTAGCATTAGTGAGGGCCAGGCAGGTTTCCGACAGAAGAGGGGGTGCGTAGACCACGCATTCACGGTAGGGAGAATCATCCAAGGTAGAAAGAGGGCGGGAAAGCCGACGTACTGCTTCTTCCTGGACATGAAAAAGGCATACGATACCGTATGGAGAAATGGGCTGTGGAAATAATTGTCCAAGTACGGGATCAAGGGGAAAATGTGGAGAGTGCTGAAGAAGATGACAGAGTGTACGAAAAGCGCGGTCATGCTAGACGGGGAACTGTCTACGTTCTTCGACATTGAGCAGGGGGTCCCACAAGGTTGCACGCTGTCCCCAACATTGTTCCAGGTGTTCATCAACGATCTGTTGGAAGTCGTAGAGGCAGTCCGGAAGGGAGTAAAAGTAGGGGACACGGAAACTTCGGTGTCGGGAATGCTGTTTGCAGATGATTTTGTTGGTATGTCGGACACCCCTGGGGACTGCAACTGCAAATTGACGCGGCGAAGAAGTTTACTGATAAGTGGAGATTGTCTGCCAACGTTAAGAAGAGTGCCGTCATGGTATCCAACGAGGTCAGGGAGGAACCAGTAGAACACACATGGAAGTGGGGGATCGAGGAGATAGCAGTAGTGGACCAGTACACATACCTCGGAGTAGAGATCGCAAAAGACTGCTCGTGGAATGCACACATGTCCAAGGTAGCGGAAAAGGGCAAAGCACGAGCAGGGAAGCTGCACCCAATACTCGCAAACCGGCACCTCGATACACGCATCAAATTGGCGGTTTTGAAGAGCGTAATCGTACCGCCGCTAGAGTACGCCGGAGAAGTATGGGAAGGAAATAAGAAGGTAGTGAAAGAAATCGAGGCGGCGCAGATGAAAGCAGCGAAAATCATCCTAGGATGCTCCAAGCGCACGAGCAATGCAGCCGTAAGGGCAGAATTGGGGATCCAATCCCTACGGTCGGGAAGAGGCGCAAGGAAGCTGGCATGGCAGTATCGCATGTGCGGGATGGGAGAGGAGAGGTTGCCGAGAATAGTATGGGAGGCGAAGTGGGCATACAAAAAGAGGGGTAGACAACCCACGGAATGGGTCAAGGTTGTAGAGGACGTATGGAAGGGGTTAGACATCGACGAAGATGAAACGCTGGAAACGGAGGGTCTACAGGGGTTCAAGGAGAAGATATCTGTTGCTTGTGCCGAGAGAGAAGAGCAGAATCTAAGGAAAGAAACCAAGGATGAGAAGGGTCTAGAAGTGTACGGAATGTTGGAAAGAAGTATCAGGGTTCAAGGATTACCTATATGGACCAATGGATGCAGGGACAAAGCTTAAGGTCAAATTCAGGACCGGGGACATAGGCCTTCGAGAACGTCGACGAAGACATAGGACGGTAGACGACGAAGACGACAAGTTCAAACGCGATTGATTGCGGCTTCGAATGCGAAGACCGTGTTCATGTAAACGCGGAATGTCCGTGGTACGAAGAGGAGAGGGAAGTGCACATGACTGAGCTGGGAAAAATACAAGGGGCGTACAGGGAGATGTTTGAGGCATGGAAAAGACAGGAGAGGACGGTAGCTGTACTGGGGAATAGGAAGTGGTTTGAAAAGGCGGGAAGGGATATCGTTAGGATATACAGACTAGGGAAGACATTTTTGAGCCACCTTTGGCAAAGTAGGAAGGAACGATTGGCCATCGGTGATCGGTCCTGTGGGAACAATGCTCCGTCCTCTCGAGGACGCGTGGTCAATGGTCTAACCGCTAAGGCATGCAAAACATAAGAGTACGACCCCCCCCCCCCCCCCCTCTCGAGCTGATGATGGTGAACACCCGCCCCCCTTCTCTGTAAACCACACTGACTGGCGCCTCCACAACTCAACGTCACTGCTGCGGTGTGGTAAACGAGATGAGCCAATGGTAACAAACGTAACAACGCACGAGCCTACTGCAGGTACTTATCATTTTTTGGAAAAAAACAGGAAAAAAACAATTATTCCACTCCCCCTCTCTTGCACCAGCACCAGAAAGTAAATTAAGTCATACGTAGCTGTCATCCGTACGCAAGGAAGTAAGCAGAAGATGCCGAACACCCTTAGCAGGATGCAGCTCACCCTTCATGCGACTCGCCAAATACCTCACGGCGCTTCGCGCTTGGTGATGTGAGAGCCTGGTCCGGTGAGAACCCGGCGTGCTCCGTCCCGGCTTTGTAGGGATGCGAGGTCAATGGTCAAACGACTACGGCATGCACGACTATGAGTACACCCCCCCCCCCCCCCCCCCTCTCTTGTAGAGACGAGACCGGATCTCTAAAACCAATTGAAATGCAGAGAGTGGGGTCACTTTTCAGTGGGGTCGGAAAAAGTGGGATAAAAAATATGGGTCTGAGTATTTCGGCGACAGACGCTGAAGGGCTTCAGGATAAACTTCAAGACGAAGAACGGCAACATATTCAAGCCTGCTAGGGGAAAACTTTACATGACAATTCGTGGAGCGTCTAAATCGCTCAGATTAATCGATCTGCTCGTCCTTTGACGGCGGTATTGAAGTAAGGCGATACAGTCGGCGTCCGTCAATAGCGGTAGGTAGTGACAAGAGGTGTTGGTGCCGTTATTCAGGGCAGTGCCGCTATTCAGAGTACCGCTATAGAGGACCGTCCGACTGTACTTTCTTGGCGGTACTGCAATATGGCTGTTCTTTGTAGGCCGTTCCCGGTACGTTTTTGGTGGTATTCTTTCGCGGTCACGCAGTATGATGGTACTTTTTTGGCGAGAGGCGGTATTTCGTTTTCGGGGGTACCCGGTACCACCGACAAGGCGGTAATTCTCCGCGAGTACCGGGATCAACCACCACGGCGGGAAAAAAAAACCGGGAGCTTCCCGAGGTGCACCCTAAACCTAATTTGTGCATCAGAAAAAGCGTCACCTGCCAAGTATATACTTCAGCATTAGGAGGATGGAGGACGGAGGACAGGGACGTTTCTCTCCTGAGGCGCACGTACAACTTCCTATGGCTTGCGGATGTAGGTTCGGTTTTTGGAGCCCCTTTGACATGTCGGCTCAAGTCGCGGTCTCTAGTGCTGTACTTGCATCACTTTCGAGGTGTTAGGGGTAGGCAGGATCCACTACTCTTGAGAGCTGCATGTGGAGTGGACCTATCCCATCTACGTTGCGCATCTCTCCTATCCCTCGGTATGCATGCTCAATTAACATGCGTGATCCCACTGGAGAACCAAGAGAGTATACCCAGCAGCCCTCATGGCACTGCCGACACAAATATGGCGTCGGGCTTAGAATTTCTACCGATACCGAGATTGATTGTGGAATGGCGCGCCAGAACGTTCAAACAAAATGCGTCACCCTCGTAAAGCTCACCTTTGCAAGCTTTGTCATAACATGCGATACCTCCGTGCTCCCGCTGTCCGCAGATAAAAAAACGGTTCTCAACATTGTGGAACGAGATACCAATACTTCGCTTCAGCCATGATGTGCTTGGGTTGATGGCCAGACATGGATTGACCGAGCGGTAGCGGTTTCTTTGATCTCATCGGTGTCGAGTCAGAGCGCGGACGTGTCTATAGGTGTTCGTCTCTATGTAATAATCGAGTGTTCGAGCAATCCCGGGATTCGGCCACCAGGGACGGCCGGAAACGAAGGTGACTGCAGTGTCGTAAAGCTGCGAATCAAGACCCTCGCGTCCCTCGCAATATATGGGGCAAATTCTCAGACAAACGACATTTGGTACAAATTGCTGTTTGCCTGGAAGGAAGGCTTGACTCTCGATGCCACTCCACTGCTGATTCGTTCGGAGCACATGGTCGCTGCACGACATCCGCAGGGAGCAGTTCGAAGACCCAGCAAAACTTACGCCGAAAACAGAGATTGATGCGGAACGCTGGGATTTGTTCCAGCCGCAGTACCTGCAGCCTGCCAATGGTCATAGGCCCAACTACCGGAAAAATGTCGTAGTACTACAATATTATGTGTTTATCGGAGTACCCATTACACATGTACGGCGGATTCTTGAAACCATCAGTTAGTTGTCACCGTCCGGGGTGCTATACTGTAACGTTGCAACCGTAATATCCATCGCATACCGACCACACCTACAAGTACGCTTTTTTCACGCCGACAGGGAGAGCCCTGCTGTAATCGATCACCCTTCCCCGTACCACTGACAGCGTTGTTGACGTGCCCCTCGACAAGCAAGCACCGTTAGATATACCAGAATAACGCACGCGAATGCGGGGCGACATTTCCTTTTCGTGATCTTGGTGGTGTTGAATAAACACCAGGTTTTGCAGGCGGGACTCACGGTGCGGTCGAACGTGAACAACCCTTCAGGTACTAGTCGGGAAAGCAGGGACGCTTAAGAGCGCTCGCCGCGGATGCGGCGCGCCAGCTGGATGTCCTTGGGCATGATGGTCACGCGCTTGGCGTGGATGGCGCACAGGTTGGTGTCCTCGAACAGGCCCACCAGGTACGCCTCGGCAGCCTCCTGCAGGGCGAGCACAGCGGAGCCCTGGAAGCGGAGGTCGCTCTTGAAGTCCTGGGCGATCTCGCGGACCAGGCGCTGGAAGGGGAGCTTGCGGATGAGCAGCTCGGTGGACTTCTGGTAGCGACGGATCTCGCGCAGAGCCACGGTGCCGGGCCTATAGCGGTGGGGCTTCTTCACACCGCCGGTGGCGGGCGCGGACTTGCGGGGCGGCCTTGGTCGCCAACTGCTTACGGGGGGCCTTGCCTCCGGTGGACTTACGGGCAGTCTGCTTCGTGCGAGCCATGTTGCTTGTGTGGGCAGAAAAGGTTTGTGGACAAGAGAGAGGACAGAGAGAGAGAGTGATCGACGGCGGGGGGTGGAGCGATCGAGAGAGATCGAGAGCTAGAAAGGCAGAGGGCGAGAAAACGCGGCGGGATAAGTTTGAAAGTGTAGCGCGTGCTGATTGGCCAGATTTCGACCTGCTGCTCTGATTGAACCGCGAACGGGCACATAAGGCGTTATTTGGGAAACCTGAGCTCTCTGTGCTCTCCCCCACCCCATTCTCTGTCTCTTGCTCTCTTTGCCCACCTCCGTGTACGAGCCCCAACAGCAGCAACCATGGCGACCACCGCGAAGCCGACATACAGCGTGGTGAGTCGAGCTGGAGTTGCAGTTCTGTGCCAAATTTCATGCAGACATGCAGACGATGTCCGTTTGAGAGGTTTGAAGGATTTCAACCAGGGAGGTGGAAACCAGTTGTAAAACGGGAGAGAGGCAAACGATCGTCTTGCGAAACACTGCCGTGTGCGACCACCTACAGCAGCATATTGGGCAGTAGATTAGAGTGGATCAAGGATGGCCTTATGTCGGCGATGGCTGCTCTACAATGATGTAACTTTGCTGTGCCCGTGTCTATGTGGGTCACGTCGTTGGAAGGCTTGTTGTGCTCCTGCAGGTAAGCAAGGTACTCGAAAGGTGAACCGTTGGTCTTCCACGCCACGAACGGCGTGGCAATCCTCCCGTAAATGACAACACCTCAGCCGTCATTGTCGACCACGCAGCGTGTATTACACTTGTCTCGCCTGTCCCGAAAGGACGACTTATTTTGGACGACTGCAGCACTCGACGCCACAGCAACAGCAGCACACGAACAAAGGCTGTTGTTCCGGAAAAGCTACATAACGCTTCCCTCTTGTGTCTCTTGTGGTGGCAGATGGTGTTCGACGCCATCAAGGCTCTCAAGGAGAGGGGAGGCTCGTCCCTCCCTGCTCTCAAGAAGCAGATCATGGCCACGTACCCCAGCCTCAACTTCACCCCTCACCAGATGAGGAGCGCTCTCAAGAAGGGCACCGAGTCCGGCAAGTTCATCAAGGTGAGCCAGCCTTCCCTGCTGCTGTAGGATTGAGTGTGTTGGTTTCCAGCAAAAAAAATTCCCGCCTTTCATGTTGGTGTCACGTCTTGTGTGTTGGGCACCTATAATAGCACCAAGTCGTTTTCTTTGGTTCGTTTCGGGTCTAGGCAAGAACTACACCGCAAGGTAGAGCGATAGGGGGGTATATCTGTTTCAACCAAAACAGAGGTCATCTACCTGTATTTCTTCAGCTTCCTGGCTGAGTGATGCACGTATGTACATATGCTGTTTCGATACCAGTCGGTGCCCCTGAATCCTGAATCGGATGCTTGTTGCTTGTACGTTTCGTGGTTGCCACGTGTTGCAGGTGAAGAGCTCCTACAAGCTTAGCCCCGAGGCAAAGAAGCCCGCCCCCAAGAAGAAGGTCGTGAAGAAGAAAGTGGTCAAGAAGGTCGTGAAGAAGAAGGTCGCCAAGAAGAAGCCGGCGCCCAAGAAGCCTGCGACTAAGAAGACCGTGGCCAAGAAGAAACCCACCACCGCCAAGAAGCCTGCTGCGACCAAGAAGAAGGCGGTCGCCAAGAAGCCTACCACCAAGAAGAAGGCCTCCACCCCGAAGAAGAAGGCTGCTCCCAAGAAGGCTTAAGCGAGAGCAACAGCGCCGTATCTGGATTGGTCAAGAAAGCCCCGTCCTCTTCTCTCTTGGCTCCAACCGCATCCATTCTCGCAGCTAGCCCACTGCATGCCAGAGGGTGCCATTTCCGCCCTCTGGCTTTGTTAGGCCTGCATGCAATCAACCACCTGGTGTTTACTCAACACCACCCAGAAATCAAGAGGAAAATGCCACTTCTTGTTTCGTGTACCGTGCTGTTCTGACTTCCGTGTGTGCGGGACTGGTAAGTGACTTGTAAAGTTCTCCGTCTGTCTTGAGAGGCGAACAGGAAGGGCCGGGCTATACAGATCGCCGATGGCCCCGGATACTTGGGATTGTTGCCTACCTTCCGGTCCAGGCATGTTTACGTTTCGTTGTTTTCACCGTCCGAATCACGTGATCATCGGTTAAATACAGCTAGCCGAACGTGAGAAGAAACCGCTCAAGTTCGACCTTTGTTGGCGACCAAATTGAGTTTTCGGTGTACTGTACACGCGTCCCCTGCCCCGGTATAAAACATCTGTGCGGTGTCGACATTGTGAGTGAAGTATGGATGTGAGTGACTCCCACCGCCTTTCCACTCTTTGTGTAAGCTCTTTATCGGTTGTTACCTGTGCTAAACACACGTCAAGAGCACTTGTTTTTGCAAGCACCAACCTTCCCAGCCCCCGCTCTTCCGCTTTCACCAAAGCGCCCGTGTCCGTCACGTCTCAACCCTCTCCCACTCTTCTCCGTGAAGAAGTCAGTATCCATCAACCAGCCCCACGTGAAGGATATACGGTCAGCAGTGGACGCTCTCCGGTTCGGCATGGCCTATCGCTTGCGGCTTGCCCATCACGTGTCTGATATATGAAGCAAGTACGTTGATATCCCTCCCGTCTTGTAAGGTGGCCGCCTTCTGCTGTGCGTCTGTCCTGAAGCACATACATGCAACGTGTCAGATAATCTTGGCAAAGCACGTCGAATGGCAGCTGTCCTCACGGGATTCGACAATACACGCCGACTCTTACGTCAGTCGATGCTCTACTCTTGATATTACTGAATCGGAGGCGCACACGAAGCGCCCGGGGTATGATCGTGTCGTAAGTAGTTGAGCGCACCCGGTAATGATTTGGAGATGATGACACCATCGACGTTCTTGTGACGACCGCGAGGTCTACACCAGACACTACGTGCACGCATTCCCAGTGCATCGAGGACATTCAACGTCTCCAGAAAATCTGTCGCCAACATCAACGGACCGGGAAAACCTTGCGCCGCAGGACGAACGAAGCAGGGCACCTGTTCGCATTCTCTCCGCCCACCCATGTGTTCTTTCAAACATACCACGCCTCTGTGGACATAAACTCCCTGCTACCGTGGTTGGTAGCGTGCGGGAGCATGGCAATCGTGACAGAGGTGGGTGGTGCCAACAACCTCCGCCCTCGTTGCTCGGGCTCGAGGAACGTGGGCTAGTCTACATCTTGGATGCTGCTACCGCTGTATACCCGCGCGGGGCGTTCTTGTACACCGAGGATTCGATACGATCCAGTGGGGACGACGAGGCCCTTCTTTTAAAGACCTCGTATGACGCGGTATTGGCACGGGCGATGCGGCTGTCCGGAACCTGACGGTGAAAAATTATCATAAGACATATATACGCCACGTCTATTGTGACGCAGGCCTTGTACACGCAGGAAGAAGGCAGCCGACACGCCATGACATTTGAGGTTGACCGACTCTCCCAAATATGTTTGTAGTGGATGCCGCGGAATCACGACCGTCTTCTCTTTGTCATTCTTGATCAGGTCTTGATCCCCATCCTGCTGTACAGAAGGGCGGGGACGTGGGGACCCACAGCGAGGGGTCCATTTTGTCGGTAAATATATGAAGACGGCATCGATTTGTCCGCATATCTATCCACGCCTCAGCGGACGGACGGACGGTTGCACACTTACATGGAATTGAATTTTTTCTGCTGACGCTGAAACCACAGGCTGTCAGCACTGCTGCCTGGAATGACAATTCTTCTTGTTTGGCGTCACAGCCATCAAGTACCCGGCCATCCAACCCGACCTACTGGACAGCAGGAAGGAGCAAGCATCCGGCCATAAAGATAGTGGTGATTTCGAGGAGGAGGACAGCTAACGATGTTTGCACGTTGAGAGCTGACAAACCGTCAGGCTGTTGCCCGTCCTTCATGTCGATTCAACTTTGCAAAGGCCTCAATTCTCCATTCATCATTTGTATGTATGTATGTATGTATGTATGGATACTGCAGCAGTAGACAAACTCGTTGGACCCTCCCGGGACCAGCTCGACAAGAAAATGCGTACAATTTCCGGGCTCTCTTTCGTTCATCATGTGACATACATATATATGTATCGGAAAACGAGAGTACCTTACCTCACTTCAAAACAACCTTATCAACGACCCACCTGTTCATGCCTTGCAGGTCACGACTTCGCGCAGCATACGGTACGTGTACAGCACCATCAGCGGTGGGAGTCTTAAAAGTATGTAGATGAAACATTTTTTTTTCTATCGTGCAAAGTACCGGGCACGCACAATGACCTGGATTCGGTCCAACAACGAAGATTGAGGCTTTTGAAACACACAGCAGTGCCATCAGTGTTTCTCGGGCGAGTTCCTCCCAAGTATCATGTGGTATTTCTGGAGACACAACACCACGAGGCTGTACAGCGATGGCGGATGATGGTGCCAGGTGCCAGGCAGGTTTGTGTGGCGTGCGTTCCGAACTCGGCCTTATTTGGGCGTCGGTGTAAGTGCCGGCGTGTTGCGAAACACATCAGGCGTGGGTCCAGTCTACATGGGCCGCCGATCACTGACACTGAAGATGTAAATAGTCAAGGTGGGTTGTGTGTGTTTGCCGTCCGTTGCAAGAACAGCTGAGAGAGCAAGACATCAGGGGGGAGTGTGGGCGTGGATGTCGTGTGCTTGGAAGCGCGGGGCAAATGTCGATGACTCGCTACTACTGCGCGTATGCACACACCCACACAAGTCACTACGTATGGCGTGCCTCAAATGATTAATGATGGTTGTTGAATCATTCGAAGGAAGAGATCTGCCTGCTTCTCACGTACCCGCTTCCACAGGCAGATACCGCCATGCTCCCAAGGCATCGCCAACCCACGCGGGTTGCGATGGTTTTTCGAAAAAGGCGGCGTAACCCTGTCCGGTAAAGCCTGCAGGCAATATTTCACGGCCAATCAGCGTCGCCAGTCTGTTTCTCTTCGAGACATGGATCGCCCGGACGACGCAGGAGCTTTCACACCAGACTATTCTCCTGTTGCCCCGCCCCCCA